GCCATGAACGTGGCCCGCTTCCAGCGCTTCCCCGAGAGCCGTCGGCAGGGCGGCCGGGCGCTGCCACGCCTGGTGCTCTTTGCCTCAGAGGAGGTGGGCACGGCGATGGGTGCGGGTGGGGGTGGCAGTGGGAGCAGCGCCCTGAGCCCCCCGCCCTCTGTCCCTGCAGTGCCACTACTCCATCCAGAAAGGAGCCGCCTTCCTGGGCATCGGCACTGACAACGTCGTCCTGGTGCGTGCAGATGAGAGGTGGGAGCTCTGGGATCGCCCTGGGTTAATGCTGGGGTTGTGCCGGGACCCCCGGCCCCTCTGCTGACCCCTGCATCCCTCAGGGGGAAGATGATCCCCGAGGAGCTGGAGAAGGAGATCGAGAGGGTGAAAAGTGAGGTGAGGCCAGGGGAAGGATGGCTGCCAGGGGACCCCCGTCCCCATGTGCCATCCCCTGACCCCAACCCGATGTCCGCCATCCCCCCAGGGTGCCGTGCCATTCTTTGTCAGCGCCACCTCTGGCACCACCGTGCTGGGCGCCTTCGACCCGCTGGGCCCGGTGGCAGACGTGTGCCAGCGCCACGGCCTGTGGCTGCACGTGGATGTGAGTGCTGGGGGGGGGGCCCTGCTGTGCACCCCCAGCCCCGCTTCCCCCCGCACCCACCCCGCTCTGCCCCACAGGCCGCCTGGGGTGGGAGCGCGCTGCTCTCCAGGAAGCATCGGCACCTCCTGGCCGGCATCGAGAGGTATCTCCAAAGGGGTGCAGGAGGTGTTTTGTGGGGACACAGAACCGCTTCCCGTGGAGCCCCCCCAACCCTCTCCTCACTGTAGGGCTGATTCGGTGGCCTGGAACCCCCACAAGATGCTGACGGTGGGGCTGCAGTGCTCAGCCTTCCTGCTCCGAGATGACTCTGTGAGTCCCACGGCTGCTGGGATCCCATCAGGGCCCCCCTCTGGATTCCTCAGGACCCCACTGGGAGCCCCCTGGAACCTTCTCTAGTCTCTCAGACCGTACAGAAACTCCCTTGGAATCCTTCGGAACCCACTGGGAACTTCTTGGGATGCCCCGAGACCCCTTGGAACTCACTGTAACTTCCTGGGACCTGCCCAGAATGCCACCAGGATCCCCTTGAGACCCCAACAGAAGCCTTTTGGAGCCCACTGGGACCCCCTGGCCCCTTTGGCACCACCCTGTTATGCCCTGCAGTCCTTCTCGGGTCCCCAATAGGAACTCATCAGAGCCCCTCTAGATCCCAACAGGACCCCCCTGGGACATCCTAGCATTCCTTGAATGCCATCAGAACTCAACTGGGAACTCACAGAACTCACCCAAGACCCCCTCAGAACCTTCCAGGACCCCAAGTAGACCCACAGGGAACCCCTAGGACCCCCTCAGATCTTCTGGGATCCTCCATCATTCCCCACCAGGACCCCCTGGGAATCCCTCGCATCCCTTTGAGACCCTTGGGGACCCCTGGGAACCCCATACAGCCACACTTTGACCCCCGTCTCCCACAGGGGCTGCTGCAGCGCTGCCACGGGACGGGCGCCACGTACCTCTTCCAGGCTGACAAATTCTACGACGTGACGTTCGACACCGGGGACAAGACGGTGCAGTGCGGCCGCCGCGTCGACTGCTTCAAGCTCTGGCTGCTCTGGAAGGCGGTGGGGACCGAAGGGCTGGAGCAGCGCGTGGACAGAGCCTTCGCCTGCACCCGGTGAGCGCAGCAGCCGCTGCCGGATGCCACCACCAGGTGCCACCACCGGGTGCTCACGCTCCTCTCCGTTCCCAGCTACTTGACCGCGGAGGTGAAGAGACGCGACGGTTTCCAGCTGGTGCTGGAGGTAGGCTGCGATGCGCCGCTGTGCCCCGCGGGAAGGGGGGGTTGAGGCCCCACAGATGGGGGCAGCAGGGAGCGTCACCCCGTGAGCCCCTTTGGGGTGCGCAGCAGCTCCCAGAACGGAGCCCCCAACGCTGTTCCCCCCGCTCTCCTTCCTCCACAGCCCGAATTCCTCAACCTCTGCTTCTGGTTTGTGCCCCCCAGCCTGCGGGGCCGACAGGGCTGCGCTGATTTCGGGCCTCGTTTGGGGAAGGTGAGCGTGGGATCTGAGGGTCCCCCCTTCTGCCCAGCGCCTGTCCCCCACGCAGACCCCCAGCTTCCATCCCCCTGCAGGTGGCCCCCGCCATCAAGGAGAGGATGATGAAGGAGGGCTCCATGATGGTGGGCTACCAGCCCCACGGCGCCAGGCCCAACTTCTTCCGGCAGATTGTCACCAGCCCTGCTGTCACCAGGGCTGACCTCGACTTCTTCCTGGATGAGATTGAGCGGCTCGGACGTGACCTGTAGGGCCCCCCCTGGCCCCCTCTCCAGCACTGCAGGGACACCAGGGACCAAAGACACTCCCACGTGCTGCACACTGCAGCTCAATAAACACTGAAATGGGTAAAACAAACATGGCTTTACTGTGCTGTTGTTTGTATAAAATAACCCCTAAGTTTGGGATGTCCCATCAGCGCGTCCCCATCCTCAGTGCTGCCACCAGCAGCCGGGACTCTGCAGCCAGCATCCTGAGCACCACCGTGGGCAACTCGAATGCCACCACCAGCAAAAACGGAGCCAAACTGGCAGAACCTCCTCAGGTTGTGCTGGGTCTCTTGTTCAACATCTTCATGAGTGCCCCAGAGGAAGGGAAGGAATCCACCCCCTGTAAGTCTGCCGATGGCCCGAAGCAGGGAGCAGCGGCTGATGCAGCAGAGCGCCGTGCTGCCACTCGGGGGAGCTGGGCAGGCAGGGAGGAACCCGGCGAGGTTCAACGTGGGCAGCTGTAAAGCCCAGCATGTGGGGAAGAACGACCCCATCATCAGCGCGGGTCGGGCTGAGCTGCTGGAAAGGAGCTCTGTGGAGACCCTTGGGGACCTGGTGGCCGACAGGGAGCCAGCAGCGTGCCCTGGAGACCCAGAAGGTCGCTGGTGTAACGGCTGACAGATAGTTGACATTTTGGGACCGTTCTGGGGCAGTCTGGGGATGGTATCACAGCCCCCTTGGGTCCCTCAGGTCAGTGTCACAGTGTCCCCAAAGGTCCCTGTGCTCTTCCCCTCCCCACTCTGTCCCCAAGGAACTCTCATCGTGTCCATGCGTTCCTCCTCCACGTCCCCCTGCACCCCCACGTTTTCCCCATGTTATCCCATGGGGGATGGATCCTCTCCAACCATCCCATAGGAGCGTGGCCTGAGGTACCCCCACCCCTCACCCCTTACTGATCCGGGGGGGGGGGGGGGCGGAGCCTTTGTGTCACTGCTGTTATCACACAACAATTGTCACCATGTCACTGTTGTCACCATTCCACAATCATCACCATGTCCAATCCCCCCCCTCCCCAACCCCCTGCTATCTGTGCTGCCCCAGAGCGCCCTGTGCTGCCCCAAAATGACGACTTCTGTGCAGCACCACTGGATTTACTGTGGCAGCAGCGGGTGGGGGGCCGCTCCACGGCTTACAGGAGTCCATTTAGGCGGCGTTGTTCACCACGCTGTTGACCACTCTGATCAGGATGGGCACGACCACTTTGTCCAGGAATTTCAAGAGCGTGGAGCGCCAGGAAGGCACTGCCTGCTCCTCCTCCTGCATCAGCTCCACCTGCTGCAGTGCCGCCACCTCAGCTCCACCCTCCTGCAGCCGAACCTCCAGCTCCTGTGGGATGAGGAGCGGGCTCAGGACCGACACAGCACCTCCGTGGCACGGCTGCAGCACGGTGCCAAGGACAAACCGTGCCGGTGTTCCTGCAAAAGCATCTCCGAGGCACGACCACAACGCACTGCCACCACCCCACGGCGCATCGACTGCGCTGCTGCCAGCATGAAACCACCCCAAAGCACCCACAGCACCACAGCCAGAGAGCACCCACAGCACCCACAGCACCCACAGCACCACAGCCAGGGAGCACCCACAGCACCCACAGCACCCACAGCACCACAGCACCCACAGCACCCACAGCACCCACAGCACCACAGCCAGGGAGCACCACAGCCAGGGAGCACCCACAGCATCCACAGCACTGGCACTGTGCTCACCTCCAGGCGTTGAGACAGCACGAGGCTCTGCTCCTCCTGCAGCTGCTGTGCCCACTGCTGCCAGCGCTCTTCCAGCTGCTTCTCCACAGCCTTCATGACTGCTGTCACCTCAGCCAACATCACCTGCTGCTGCTGCTGCTGCTCCTCC